ATAGCATCAATTCCTCATAATTCATCAAAAAAGTTGATAGTAACACAGTACCTCGACTGCGGTATGCACATTAAATGTAATGAACACAAAGGTGATTTCCTGCATCTTAACTACATTGTATGATATGGTTGATGGTAAGTTTTCATTATAAAATGTTAATCGAGCAAATAAGTTTACACTCCTTCTTCCATCAAAATTTCTTTCATTAGTGGTTTATGTTTATTAAATTATTTTAATTTGCTCACATATCAAGGACAATCTACAGTATGTTTCAGACTAATTAGCACTTTGTTTATTTTAAGAATATAATTAATTTAGCAGTTACTTTTTGAATAGAATCAATACGTACATGTGCAGTTTGCCTTAGAGTATTGCAAGAAAGAAATGTGGCTCTTCTTTATCACTAATTCCCTCTGGCAGGCAGGATGTAGTTTGTTTTTAAGAACACACAATTAATTGGAAGTCCGTGTGCTTCTACAAGGAGCTTCTGAATGGTTTAGAGATACCAACTGTGCTCTACCTAGAAAGGGAAAAGCATCAGCATGAATGCTAGAATATACAAAATACATATATCAGTGTGGCTAAGATTGACTGTTTCTAAAGCAGCCTGGTATATTTTGATAATCTGAGAATATTACCTATTTGTACAGATCAGTCTGTACAGTCTGTACTTTTTTTTTTAATGTATATCTGTATACAAAATACATATATCAGTGTGGCTAAGATATTAGATTGACTGTTTCTAAAGCAGCCTGGTACATTTTGGTAATCTGAGAATATTACCTATTTATACAGATCAGTCTGTGCTTACTTTTTTTTTTAATGGATATCTGTGTGCCTTATGTGGAATCTTTGACCATCCTGTCAAACTCTGCATGTTGCCTTTTCTAAATAAAATTTGAAGCCATGTCCAAATTACTTATTAAATATTTCACAGCTGAGCAACAATACTGTGGGAAGTTTCTTCTAAGAGAAATGAATGCCATTTGTGTATTAAGACAAAGAAAAAAGAGCATGAAAAAGGGTGCTCTTTACATAGCAAAAGCATTTCTGTTTATTCAAATCAGTTTCTTTATGGAGCTGGGTTTGAGAGATACTGCAAGTAGGTTATAGCTCATGATTTGCCAGAATAGCAATTTGTGTGGTCAGCCATCCATAATCTTTTCTAGTTCACAAACACAGTGGAAAATTTGACATTTTCTCCACTTTCATCTGCTGTTCTTTGAAAAGTTTGCACTGAATGCAGTTTGTTGGACACACAGCGCTTCTTCCCAGTTCTAACACGTTCTGCACTGATACTTTTCATGAGACTGGTACAGCATGGTGCAATATAAAGTGCTGCAAAGCCATGCAACTTGTCTGATGAATTGGGCTGGAGAGTTTTAGGAACAGTGTACCCAAGCTGTTGGGGTACAGTGATGCACATCAAAATACTGGGGTGCAGAATGATTTGTTCTTGCAGCAGTGGATAACAATATAACATTGTGATAACTTGTTTCTTTAATAGTAAATATATATGTATATATAATAACAGTAATTTATGCGTATATATTTTTAAATTTTTAGCTCTAAAAGATTTCTGCTAGGCAGGTTAAGTTTAAAATTTGGAGGTACTCCCCTTAAATAAATGAACAGTCCTGAAGTAACTTGGGATTTCATATTTCTAGATGTGCTTTGCTGCTGCTAGGGGTCTTGCTGGCATATAAATATAAGGAGTATCGTGCAGAGGGTGATATATCATCTACTAGCAAAAGTGTTCTTAGTAGGTTGAATGGTAGTTTAAAAACCAAAATTCAGTGCCTTTCAAGACAAGTAAGAGCCATGTATAGCTGCTGAAAAAAATTCAGCTGAAATTTATTTAAGAAATACGTTTATTTAAAAATATATGTTTAAAGCCAATGCTTTCTTTCCATTAATTTTTTTTTCTTTTTTTAGGGGAACACTGAAATGTGAACACAATTTAAAAAAATCTTTTTTTTTTTTTAATTTCCTCTGAGTCAGTTTTGTTTCTCTCATAACTTTGGCTCAACTTGTTAAACTCCTTCTTCTTCCAAAAGACATTTTTTTCCCTCCGTTTCATGCTTCTATCCTTCTCCTTTGAAACCAAGATTTGTTCTTAAAAAATATTCTTTCCTGCAAGGCTGCTCTGATTTAATAATCAATGCTTGGATAAAGTCTTCAGAACATACTTACTGTCCTCTGAACAGCAGATATTACAGGCCTTGCAACTTTATTAGAAAATTGTCTATTTTTCCTAATGCAAGCTAGAAGGAGGGAGGAAAAGGGGGAAGGAATGACTGATGTGGGGCTTAGCAGTTCACCGAGTCCTGCAGTATCTGAATTGCAGTATTTGAATGCTAGCATAACCTGGATACAGATTTTCTATAAAGCTTTTTAAGCATAACCTGCTTAAAATGAATAAGATGCCACTGAGTTTAAACTGGCTTGTTAGGGCAAAGTCTAAGTTTCATCTTCTGACCTCTGAAAAGATACAAAATGAATGTGAGAACATATTATCCTTTGTGAACACCAAATAAAGTACTATTTAGATCTTCTAAGCCAAATAGCTGAAAAAGAAATGTCAAAGGAATTAAGCTATGCTAAAACTAGCATGGCATGAGAATCAGAACTTTACATTTACTTTGAATTTATCCCAATCTGTAGTATCTTATATTTGAGAAAATACTATTCATTATAATTAGGAAACACTCTGCATCTATCTGAAAATGCTTTACAATCGACTATACCATATGTTATTGACAATAAAGGCAGAATTACATTCTCAAGCTTGTAATTGTTCTTTTTCTTAATCAGTTAAGCAGAATTTTGAAAGTGTGCTTCCCAGATGTCTAAAGCTTTGGCATACTTCTTTTTGAAAAAAAAAAATCACTGACTTATATTTGCAATACCAGGTTACTGGGAATAAGAAACACTTTTTTTTTTCTCTTTTTGTAGATTTTTGTAGATGTTATGAGATGGCCTCATAACATTAATAGTAGCTAAGCATTTCTATATAGGTGTGAATCATGAAATACTTCGATTTTAGACAACTGTATTACCGAGGCTACTGAGCAGCCTTTAAACTGATGTAAGCAATGAAGGTATAATCAACTACAGAAAAAGTCTGAAATCTTGGGGACAGATTGCTGCTGCACATAAATTCTTGTACCATTGAAGACAAACAGCTAACTCTATATTCAATACGGAGCATCACGCAGAAAATTGTTTACTGTCTTCTTTCTTTTGGGGGATGTTTAGTGAATATATCCGATTATGGATGAATGTGCTACTAAGGAAAATGGCTCAAGTTATGTGTTTTAAAGCTTTTGTATTATGTGGACTTCAGCCTTTCTGAGGAAATTGCCTGCCAGGAAATAAAACATGCCTAAACTTTAAACTGGAAGAACATGCTATGGTAGCCATTATTACTCAGACAAGAAATAACTCTCGTGTGATTGCCAAGCTGCAATCATCCAGGGTGTAAAATGGGGAAAAATGAATGAACAGCCCAACTTCAGCTATATCAGAGCATTCGGAGAGAGTCCTCTGGAAAATGAGCTTGCTGGGCCTCTGAAAGTTTCTTTTGAGCAACACCAGCCCATATTTTTGACTCGTTTCTTTGTCTCTTAATAATGAGCTGTTAATACTCAGTGTGGAACTACGGGTCCCTAGTAAAACTTGCTGCTTAAAAACGTAAGTTTCTCTGTTTCTAAATTTGCAGAGAGCTTCTCATTCAGTACTTTTTCAGCACAGGTAATACAACCGGCTTAATCATACCTAATCATACCCGTTCGAATAAAAGAATCACCTGGACAGCACTCCCATTTCCTTGTTCGCGGCCTGCTGTGTTCGAGTTGTTGCACAAGGAAGATTACATGTGGTGGAAAGGTTATGTTAACAGGCATAAGGGCTGTAAGCCACGTGGTTTACATAGAATATGACAGAAATCTCCTTTGTGCTGATATATTTTTTTTAAATTGTCTGTTTATGTTGTCTTTTGGCGGAGGTGCTTATCCCTGCCCTCCGCCCTCCCTTTTCCTGCTCCTACTACAGCTGAAAGGCCTAAAGCCTCTCTCTTTTTTTTTTTGGTTGTAAAGGTATAGCAGAACTTGAAAGCTAATACTATATTTAGTTTTCAGGAGATATATATGTGTGTATATATGAGTATTCTTGTATGATGAGAAAAATTGAGTCTCTTGCTCTGTCAACACCTTGCTCAGATTTAGTCTTCTGGGTGTAATGTGTGAGTGTAATGACTCACCCTGCTTATTTACCTCCCAAAACAGATAAATACACAACAACAAAACAGATTCAGCTGTTCTGTCAGTCACTGGGTTTCTAAACACAAAAGTCAACGTGTGGTTTTGTGCGGCCTTGCACTGCTGGCAACAGGGTAGGATACACTGGAAGGTGTCGTATATTGCTGCTGCAATTAGAAACTGCAGTGTTAAAAACCTCTCCTTCTAGAAAGTTCCGAATCAGGATATTGGAATACCTCAGGCAGAAGACTTAAAAATATGTGTAATAGTAATAAAAAGACTGGAAGATAACTGAAAAGAGATTTAGAAATTACAGTTATTACAATCGATGAAAGCAGGTTGAGGCTATTTTATTAAAGAGAAGACTACTTTTATTTGCTTTGAAAACTTTTTTTTTTTTTCATGTTCACTGGGATTTGTGTGAGCTGGAAAAAAGTAGGAGGGAAAAATCTACTTGTAGCTGAGAGGATCTTGGTTAAGTTTGTTGTGGGATGAAGCTTTCAGCTGCTGCAGATAGTTAATCTGTGCTCCAGCAAGTAAAACCCCACCTGTGGTCATGGTGTGACTTAGGTGAGCACAGGAGAGGGGAGTTAAAATCAAGCTTTGGAGGATGCTTGTAGCACTCAAGGGCGGAGAAAGGAGGAGAAACCAGGCTAAATTGCTTTGGGCCTCTGTGTCTATGATTTATATGATAATTAATAGCATAAGTAATGTTTCTTTTTCTATCTTTTTTAACTGCAGCAAGAGAAGAGTCAGGAAAGTTCAAGAAATAAAGGTAAGTGCTAACTATTTTCAAAACATAGCAAATGCACATCTATGCTGCTTAAATTGTCCAGACTGTTTCCTAGGTATTGTGGTATTTGAAATGACGTGAATATACCCAGGGAAGAGGAAGGAAATGCAGAAAATGCAATTAAGTTGCTGTTTTTAGAGCTCTTTTTGCTTGAGATGGGCTAGGCTTAATGGTGTAGTGGGGATGGGATGGGCTGCCCAGCTTCTCACTGGGAATCAGCCTGTGGTTATTAGGTGATTTTTGAAGTATCACTGCAGAATCTTGAGATTTTTCCCTTTCTGGTCATTAAATCTATAATTGGATATGATTCCAATTTACTTCCAAATCAATCACATCCTTTGTAGGCTTCCTTTAAAAAACTGCCCCTCATGTGTGTTTTTCTGCATACAAACGTTGGTATTTTCACTGCACCTTACTCTGTGCCTATGTTACCTGGGTTAAAACGCAGCTCTGCATCAAGGACTCTTCAGAAAGAATCCAGAACCCCAGAATGTGGGTTTTGAGCCTTTTCTTTTTCTTTTTCTTTTTTTTTTCTTCCCCAGCAAAGTCACTTAAAAGAGAAAAAGCCTGAACTTTTTTGCTTCTTTTTATTTTAATTTGCTAAGCAAGTAATGTGAGGTGACATTGCGAATACAATAGGTGTAAGGATTGCTGTCTTGATCTAATGGGTGCGTATGGAAGTAGGCTGCGAGAAGGAAAACAAAGGCAGAGGAAAGGAGAAAAGAATCAAAGTCAGCCCAAGGTAAAAAGAGAGGAGGAATGAATTTAAGTAGCAAATTAACACATCTCCTGTATTGCTTTGGGAAGGAGTTTTTAATCATTTCACCTCCATGAGTGAATTAAGAACGAGTAATTTTATGTATCACATAAATCTCAATTTCCTTGCTTTCCGTTGCATATGGCTGTACACGTGCATCTAAAGATAAGCTAAATCCAAAGTTTGGGTGGAATTGTCAGTGCAGAGAAGTTCTTCATCATGATATGACTTGCATCATGAGAAGTCTCTACGGACTTTCATTTTGAGGGTGTATATATAACAAAGTAAACCAAAGAAACCTTCCATTTCACCCAGTTTATGATTTACAACTTTCTCTTGAAGTCTCGGTCTTTTTCTGAGGTAATGTAATATAAAGTTGAATTATCTATAGAGATTTAGAACCTGTAATGTATTGTTTAGAAACTTTTATTGTCTTATAATGTAATACAAATTATACAAAAGTATGAAAACTCAAATTAGGTTGCAGAAATTGGTGATTTGTGAATACTAAAGTTTAGTAAATTGAGAACTTAAAGCCTTTTCACAGAAAAGGCTTTACTAAAACTTTGCATTCTTTACAAATCTAAATTATTTCCAAGCTACATTTTGGTATTTGATATTCAGGTGTTTAGTGACTCTGCAGTGAGGAACAGTTAAGTGCAGAAAGAAAAAAAATGAGCTAGTGAGAAGTGTTCATCGTGTTCATTAGATGCTAGTTTAAGTAATCAAAGAAATAATCTTCAAAAACTTATGAAATATTGGTCACAACTGCAGCTAAAAGCAAAGTGTCAAACTGTACTTGAAGGGAGATATCCTTTACCTTCTAACATGCAGTAAAATTGATGCTCAGGTGCCTGGAATTTTTGTAGTTATATCCATAACATCTCTCAAGGAAATATTTGATCTGCTGATTTTTCTACATCCTGTGCGTTTCTCTGTCTAAGCTGACAATTCCACTCAGAAGATTTCAGTGGTTTGAAAGAATATTCATGTATAGGGTAGACATTGGAAGAATATGCTGTGCTGACATGCTTATGCCAACATGCTTATAGTTAATTGTTGAATTTGGAGGGGATGTGGGGGAGATTTCTCTTTTTGTATGCTTTAAATATATTCTTTGTCATTGCAAGATTTCAACTAACTAGTAAAATATCAAAACTTTTTATGTAAGATTTTGTACCTTGAATTGCTGAAATACTGTGTACATTAGATGAAATAATGCTGAAGTATTGTTTTCATATAGATATTCCTGCATTGTCAGTGATCTCCACTTTTCACATGTGCTTTGTGTTCTCTTAATGCTCTTGTGAGAGATGTAAATTATACCAAAATTCTAAGGGCATAATTTTAACAATATTCCCCACCCTCTATACATTATCATGTATATAGTAAGAGGCCAAAGCAGCTTTCTGAGATTCTTGAAATACTCTGAAATTTTCAGAACCCATGCCATCGTCTTAATTCAGAGACCAATTCCAACTTTTGTATAAACATCTCAAACAAAACTATGGAGTGCTTCGTAATGCCTACTGATAGTAGTATCTCAGTATCTTATTTTTACTCAATACTTCTTTAAGACTGTATAAGACAAGGATAGTACAGAAGAATGAAGGTCAAATGCCTTTTGAATGCAGCAGGATCGAGATAAAACAGTACTAGTTATCTATTATAATTTTTAGTATATTGGAAATGTACAGAAATTTCTAATTTTACTTTATGCCAGTGAAATAAGCCTGATTGCTATTAATGTTTTGATAATGCTGCTGGTTGGGCTTTGTAGTTTTTGGCTTCTGTACAGTCAATTTTCTGACCCTCTTGTTTTTCCCATCTGTTGCTTCCACTGTCAGCCAGTGTCAATCACGCGTAGAGACCAATGCTCAAACACACCCTGTTCTGCACCAATCCAGGCTCCCTCTGATCTGGGATCTTCTCTCTCTTGTTTCATTTAATGCATAGCAATACTGTACACACACTCCTTAAGCAAGAAAGTAAAAAATGCTGCTTTTATGTGAAAGTTTTAGTATGCATTGACAAACGTTCTGATGCTTCTGAGAACTGTTTCCTGAATGGAATGAAATGATTATCACCATGCCACAATACAAATGAAACGAGCTTCGTAATAGTCTTCTATTTAATAGCCAACATGACCAAAACATGAATAAGCTGTTCAACTTTGTATAACATTGCTTGCTTTATAGAAAATACAAGATACATACACTATATGAGTATATAAATACGTAACACAATAAAGATATCGGGATGTGTATTATATACATGTACAAATATTAAAGTAATATGTGCTATATGAGCTGTTATCCATGCAAATTGCAGTCATTTAAATCATACTTGTTTGTTTACTGTACAGTAATAACAAAAACATAATCTAATTACAGATTCACTTTTCCAAAAACACATTTTCACATCACAAAAACAAGAAGCCAAACAATCACCAATAGAACATTGCTAAAAGTTACTTGGTTACTTTCCAATGTTATCGCCTACAGACAAATACATAACCCCTAAACATTTAATTCCAGACCTCCAGAGTATGATAAACTAGACAGTTGCTAATGGAATTGGAAATATGTTTGGGATAATGGAATTGCTGTTGTATTTAAGCAGCCTAAATAATTTTGTTCTTGGCTTATACTTAATTTACGTGCTTTTAATGAGGTATGTTGTGAACTGTATTGAAATGGGGATAATTTCTGAAGAATCAGAAAGCTAGCTAGTGTTTTTGCCAAACTTCAAACCATTCCAACCACTTCACTCAAGAAAAAACATATAGGGGTGTGCTACTTCACTTAACTGGTAGGGACTCGGGTGATCAGTAGCTGAACTTGGTCACAATGAGTCTGCAAGTCTTGCTTCTGCAGATAAATATAAGTTATTGTACTGACACTTTCTTTTTAAGAACTTCTTAAGGTTATTTTCTATACAGAGAATCTCCATATAAATCTAAATACATCTACCAAGACAAAAAGTGTAGGCATGCTTTTGAAAAGATCATTGTTTTACAAATAATGATCAATGAGATACTATTGTAGACAACTCATCCAGTTTTGGCTATGTACTTTGCCTTTTAAAGAGAAATTAGTGGAAAAGCATAAACCTATTCCATCTGAGATTTTTAAACCTATTCCATCTGAGATTTTTTTATTATTTTTTTATAAAAACCTGGCATTTGCCAATAAAGACAGGTGCATGCAAGCAATGATGTTTAGCTTTAAAGCTAACTACACTTTAACACTTTAACTACACTTTAAAGAATACTGTTCAAACTTTTGCAAGCCACTCTTGATCATCTGTGATTTGAATGCCTTTAACATACAAAACTAAATGGGACGGTATTGACGGGCAGCATTTTAATTACAACCTGAATTTCTCATCCCGTTTGATGCTTTTCTTTTTATATTCCCCTTAATAAGCTGATACAAAATCATTGGTGACTCAGATGAGTTGAAACAGATGAGTTTCAAAAATGTAATTTTTATTGTTATGAACATATTGTCAGGCTTTTTTGATATCATTAACAAACATCTGTTCCTTTTATGATCTTTAGCTACCAGAAATAAAGAGCAAACCATATGGGCATCCCTTGCATATCTTGCATTTTGCTCCTTAAAAAGACGACATACTTGTACAATGTCTCTGGCCTTGCTTAGGATTCCAGATTGTCTTTGTAGTGTGTGTGTGTGTTTTTTTTTTTTTTTTTTTTTTTAAAGTTAGTGCTCAAAATTGAAATAAACTGAGACAGAATCAGTAAAGCATTAAGGCCTTAATTCAATAAATGTAGTTATTCTTTTTTTCAGTGACAAATTAGAATGCTTTTGAATGCCAGTGGGTGAGCAAGCTGTTGTGCATGTCTTGCAGTTTGTCTCTCATTCCTTTTGATACTGAACTAAGTTGCATACGCTTTGATTGATGTAGAATATATTGCATATGAGTCCTATGTCACTCTAAAACAATTAACTAGTGCAAAAATATATATTTCTGACCCATTGGCATGGTAGTTGCACAGGCAAAAATTAACTCTGTAGTGTTCTGCAAGAACTGCAGATTTTAGCAAAGAGAAAATAATTTAAATCATCTGAAGAAAGTATCTTGTGGAGGTGAGGGGGAGATGACAAACAGTGCATATTCCCTTGACGATCTCTAGAGAGATGTCTACTGCTAATAAAGTTCGTATATAATGCAGAAAACCTGAAGGCAAGTAGTATTCCCTCTATGTT